CGGTAACACCACCACCAGGATATGACGGATCTTCGGACACAGTCTTTGAACTTAAGAAAGCAGTGTATGGTCTTCGCCAAGCACCTCTTGTGTGGTATAAAAGACTGTCAAATTTTCTTAAGTCTATTGATTTTAACATCTCAATTTCCGATCCTTGTGTTTTCTGGCGAACGAATCTACCTGGTCGACCAATGACGTGGATATATGCTCATGTAGATGACTTGGTTATAATTAGCCATGATACATTAGTGTTCAAGGCGGAAATTGAGAAGGAATTCGCTATCAAATATTTAGGCGACGCTGAATTTCTTCTGGGGATGAATATAACTCGTTCTAGTGACACAATCAAGATAAATCAAGAACAGTACATTGAAAGAAAACTAGTTCAATTTAATCTTCAGAATGCTCATCCAGCATCGTGTCCTTTGAATCCTCGAAGTCAACTTGATAAAGCTACCGAAGAAGATCAAGAAGCGCTCAAACGACTTGAATTGAACTACCGCTCAATCGTCGGATCTCTAAACTACTTAAGCATATTGACTCGACCCGACATTTCTTATGCTGTTAGTGCTTTGTCACAATTCCTTGAAAAACCTGGTTTGACTCACTACAATGCGGCAGAGCAAGTGTTTCGTTATATAGCGGGGACAAAAGATATCGGTCTAACTTACAAGAAACAAGAGGAACAATCATTAAGGGCTTACGTCGATGCTGACTGGGGAAACTGTTTGGTAACACGACGATCGGTAACGGGTTACGTCGCTGTAACTGGCGATCACATTCTCTCGTGGAAATCGAACAAACAAGATACAATTTCTTTATCGTCTGCCGAAGCAGAATATAAAGCCTTGTCCGATCTTAGTCGAGAAATTGTCTGGATAACCAGTTTAATTAACGAAGTCAAAATTTTGAAGCCGCCATCAAATGTTCCAATTTACATCGACAACAAAGCAGCAATTGACTTAGCAAGAAGCGAGACTTCTCAAAACGGATTTCGTACTAAACACATGGATATACGACTTCATTTTGTCAGAGAACATGTTCAATAGAAATTGATACATCTTGTCTACATCAAATCAAACAAAAATCCAGCCGACTTTCTTACTAAAGCGGTTGGTCGTTGCACCATTCGTAGATCACTAAAAGTCTTGGGGATTTCTAATTCTAAAAAAGCTGCTTCAAATCTTACGACTCGAAGCACGGACAAATGTTGGAATTCAATTCCTAAACTTAGCCCTCAAAAGAGGAGAGCCTCGGGTAAGTTATACTTTAAAAGTATAACTTCCTAGAAAAGCATAACCGTTGTGGAACTGCTGAATAACCAGAACAGAGCTTAGAGGGGAAATAGCAAACTACACTACTAGTAATGTAAGTTAAGGCTAAGAGTGCTGATGAGGCTGCCCTCTGAGACTAATGCTGAGGAGAGAGGGTTACACTAAGAAAATAAGGAAGAGGTGTGGCTAATTTCTATCTATTTATTAGACTGCTATAACTGATGAGTTTGTTCCTTATCAACCTACAGGGGAAGAAGTGAGACTATGAGGGTTGTAAATAAAGCAGAGCTCTAAGGACACTGAGTGTAAAGGTATTTCTGGGGCAAGCACCTAAACAGGGCAAGGTCACTAAAGTGAGTTCTGAAAGTAAAATAGATTTTATCTGAGGGGCACAATAATATCTGTAGGGGAGAAATTGCATAAGGGGTGTACAAAAAATGATAAGAAGACTGTATATATACTTTAAGGTACAAATGAGCACAGGTTACAGTCAGTCTGGCTATGGGAGCACAATGTACAAATGTAGCACAAGAGATGTGAAAAGTAAACAATCAAAAGGAGGATGAGTAAAGAAAAACAATCCCAAAAGATAAAGACTGTGAAAGAGTGTACTACTGTTATCCTGAAGGCATATGTGAAAGCATAATTGTAAGGAGTGTGTCTGAGAAGATATATGTAATATGTAATGTGAAAAGAAGTACTTGTAAAGGAGTGTAGCTGATGTAATGTGAAGAGATATATGTAAGAAGATAATACTTGAGAAAAATATGATGTATGTGGTAAACTGTAAATATGTACTGTATGTAGTTAATGTGTAATGTAAATGTAAAGAATAATATCTGTAAAACTAAAACTGCAAATAACTAATGAACCAGTAAGAAATGAGATATGGCTTGAGTGAGTGACTATAGGTAAAAAAGGGTGTAGAATCTGAATAAGCAGTCATAATATAATAATTCCCAGTGAATGTACAGTAAAATAATAGATGAGATGGAAAGGTATGGGTTACCACATCCTCCCCCAACTTATTGTCTGTCCCCAGACAATGCAGCCAGTATGAAAATAGAAGACTAAAAAAAAGTATATAGAAAAAGGTAAAGAAAAAAAAAATAACTAGTAAGAGTGGCAAGGGAATCCAGAAACAGGGGTCCATCCAAGAGGAGCCAAATCCAGGGTTCAGGGTTGATCCACTTCCAGGAGGAGTATCTGTTCCATCCAATAAGGCCAAGTCCTGTATCCAAAAAAAAAATAAGACCAAGGAGGAAATCTGTATACAAAGAAGAAGGGCCAAATCCAAGGTGCTGTAGTTGATCCAATCCAAGAGGCCAAAATATAATCCAGACATTGGTCCACTCCAAGAAGGCCAAGTCCATAGTATCCAAAAGTGAACCACCCTAAGGAAGGAGTATCTGTTCCAATCCAAAGAGGCCAAATCCAAATAAAACAAAGTTGAACCACTTCCAAGAGGCCAAGTTCAGATTCCAGGGTTGAACCAATCCAAGAAAGCCAATGTCCAGGTATCCAAAGAAAATTCTTAAAAAAGGGCCACCCAATGGAGGAATTCTGTTATCCTTTCAATGAGGCCAAGTCCAAGAGTCCTGAAGTTGAAATTCCATCCAAGAAAGCCAAAACCAGGTGACCAAAGAAAATCCAAAGGGGAAAGACTGAGTCCAATAGTCCAAAATAGTCCTAAGGCCAGTAAAAGAAAAAGAGACTAATGATAATTGGACCACTTCCAGGGGAGTATCTGACCCATCCAAGAAGGCCAATATCAAGAGTAAGACCTAAGTTGATCATCTTCAAGCTGGAGTATCTGGTTCCAACAAGAAGGCCAAAGTAGGTAAAGACTTCTGAAGTTGATCCAAGTCCAGGAGGAGTGTCTGATCCATCCAAGAAGACCAATCCAGGAGTAAGACCTGAGTTGAAAGGCAGGTAAGTTGATAAAGAAAATTCTGAATTCCAAGGTCCAAAAGAGTCTGAATCCAAAGTCCAAAGAGAAAAAAATCTGAGATGCCAAGGTGGAAAGAAACCAAAATCCAAAGTCCAGAAAGAGGTCCAGGGAAGTAAAAAAGGTTTATAATAATATGTAAACTATATATATCCAGTAAATAAACTATGTAAAATTTCTTCTATTCAATCTGACTAAAAATCTGAGTAAAGCTGAGGTTCAAACTAATTATTTCAAGGCTAGGATGCACTAATATATATATACCAAAATCTGAAGAAGTTTTGAGGAAGATAACATACAGGAGTAAAAAATAAGGAGGGTTTTTCTGAAAGAACTACTTCTAAAATGATGGTTGTAATATATAAAGGGGGTGTGACCAACAAAAGATGGATATTATAACTGAAATTCATAAGGGCAATCAGCTGTCCTGATGGTGGATAAAAGGTATTTACAAAGTAGGAGGGGTAATTTTTCTCCATGGTGGGAGGAACCAAAATCCAGGTGGGGAGTGAAGTTCAGGTGATTGGTGAATGATAGGGTACAGAGGTGATGGTGAGCTGTGGGTGATGGTGCTCCAAATTCTGGGGTCATGGATCCATGGGTCCCCCTTCATTTTTCCAAGATGTTCAGAGATTAAATAGGTTTTTTTTTTGAAAAAAAGTTGATTTCATTACTGGCCAAATCTAGGAAAGTTGGTCCAGGAATTCCAGGAAGGAAAAGCCTAAAACGGAGGTGTCCGGTGAAAAACAGTCCCCAAGAGGGCCAGACTTAAGGAAAAAAGAGCAAAGAAAAAAAAAACAGAGCACGACCCTCGGCGAAGACGAAAGACCGAGTCGAAGATGCAAATGATGTCATAGAATGAAAAGAGTGAGATTCGGAACTGGGTCGAACACCAGAGTCAATTTTAAAAAAAGAAAAGAAACTATAAAACATAGCCCGGATCGAGCACCGGCATCGAAAGAGTAGGATGATAGGGAAATGAAACACAGCCCGGATCGCGCACCGGCATCGAAAAGATTTGAATGATAAAGGAAGAGTGACACCGCCTGGATTGCACACTGGAATTGGAAAAAAATCTGCTGATAAAAAAGAATACCAAACACCGCCCGGTTCGCGCACCGGCATCGAGAAGGATAGGCATGTTGAGTCCAAGTGACCCGTGGCTTCGCCTAAATTGAGTGCGTGATCGGAAGCGATGCCGAACATTTAATTCAGAAACTGTTATTAGCCAGGCGAGGACCATTAAAGCCTTGGCGTGATAGCAGGCAGCATCCAAGAGTCAATCGGTTCAGGTGAATAGAAATGGATTCAGTTATGTAGGGCTGCTGTCTGGAGCAACCTGAGCTGATGAACATAAAAGCCCTTCGTCAACCCTAGATCAGAGTACATCCAGCAGCCCATCTATCACCTCCGTCCTCTATCGCAGCCACAGAGCTTTACCACTACAAACAATACCGATTTTGCCCCAAGGAAAAATGGCAATTTGGATGGTGGAAAATAGATCAATTTTCTGGCACTTTTTTTACAAGATGCCTCAGGAGTAAAAAATTACGCTAAAATGAGCTATTTTAGCCAAAAAATAAAAATGTCTCAAATGAGCTAAAAACCCGTTTTAGAATGTTTGATGAATTTCTATCTCTGGGCTAAAATAGCTCAGTTTAGCCCAATTTCTACTCCTGAGGCATTTTGGAAAAAAGTGCCAGAAAATTGATCCATTTTCCCCCACCCAAATTGCCATTTATTGTTGGGGCAAAATGGGTATTGCTTGTAGTGTACCCATGTCCTTCTCAAGACCTCTTTCCATCGCATTGTCGGATGCTACTATTACCGGCACCTGCTCTGAGTCTGATTCCATCGACGAGCGTTCGCCAATTGATTTCGATTCCGTCGACATTTGCTCGCCAGTCGACTACGATTCCGTCGACAAGCGCTCTCCAGCTCAACCAGGAGACTACTCAAACTTCAGTCCGGCGTTCACCCGAGACAGCTTCTCCCTCAAAGAAATCCACGACCTCCGAATACTAATCACCGACGAACTTATTCGCTTCGCCAGGAGCAGCGGCGCCACAAAAGAAGCGGACCACATCCGAAGGTTGAGATTGTACAGTCGAGTCGAAGACCTATTCTCAACTGTGAGTTGAGCTTTCATTCTGCAAAATCCATTGAAGTATTAATTACTGATCCTGATTTTCAATCTTTAGCTTTACATGCATCAACTAGGGCCGTCTATGGAACTTCGAAGGACTTTAATCCAGGCTAAAGGAGAGGGGGAAAAGAGGAAAGACAGAGAGGAGATGGTGGTCTTCCACAAGGAAGTTGGTGAGCTTAATTTTCATTTAGAAATTATACTTCAATTGGGCTGACACTTAAACAAGGTGTCATTATCCCATATGGGATATCAACCCAAATTTTGGGATATTTGGGAAATCAACGTGATTTTTTTTTTTTCATGTTTTTTTTTTCATGTTTTTTTTTTTCATGTTTTTTTTTTTTTTTTTTTTTTTTTTTTTTTTTCATGTGTTTTATAATCTCACCTCCCCAACTCCAGTGTGAAATTCTTTTTTCATTTTTTTGTCATAACCTGCAACATTTTTACTACAACTTGATTTCTATGTCACTACAAAACTACTGGGCAATAACAACACTTCAAGCAATTTAGGCCAAAACTATTCAAGATCCAATGTCTCAAAATAAAACTGTATTAAAAAGTGAGAACGTTTCAAACACACAAGAAAGCACTTCAGATCTTCAAAATTAAAAAATACCGCATTCTTCAGTGTTTCTCCCCTCCTTATACCTCGGACTCGCTATATTCTAACTGGTCTTCTTCTAGTCATGCTGTCATCGCTCCCCATGGCGGCGGCGTCTCTTTTGGATCCAACTCTACTCTCTGCTCCACTTTCTTCTTCGGTTTCGTCGATGGTGTCATCGCTCCCCAGCGTCACGTCTCCATTGTCGTCAGATTCGGTAAATGAATCAAACCCAGAGTTGTCGTGCTCGTATCCATCGCTGGTGACAATATCATTGCCTCGGAGAGTTACTGCGTCATCTAGAGTGTCGCCCTCAGATTGAGTTTCACTATCAGACTCATTGTACCGCTCAGCATTTTGTCTGTAATCGACTGCAATGGCAAAAGTTGGTCCTTGGACCACCGTTGGGATTTGTTGCCCATTGCCAGCTTGAGGAGTGTTTTCGCCAATTGTCTGGGAAACAATGCATGCACGAGTTTAGATAAGGAGTTTATGTAAAATCGAGCCAGAATCAAAGTAAAGAACTTGCCATTTCGCCAGATCCCACGAGTGGGCAATAGTCGTTGCTTGAAGAATAAGGAGCTGAACCGAGATTGGAGGATGAGAAATGGCCTGAGCAGATTAAAAGATAGCCGATAAACACCTTAGTGACACGCAAGCTTTACAATCGCGGAGCCGTCTCTGATGGGAAGTACACCTCCAATAATCGTACCAGGAGGAGGCTCAGCTGAATGGTGTCGATCGAACTCAAGCACGCTATTAGAATAATACTTCGAATCCAATGCCAAACTAGATAAACCAGGGATTGGGATGGGAAGAAACTTGTTCACTTTTCCGATCAAGCCTACTTGCGGGAGGAATGATATTCTAGGGATTGTACTAGAAAGCAATGAAGCTGCTGATTGGATCTACTGAAGAGAGGACGTGGATGTACTAGAAAGCGGTGGAGCTGCTGATTGGATTTACTGAAGAGAGGACGTGAACAGTGTTACGAGCGCGATTTCAGTAATTGTTGAAATTAAGTCAGCAAGGCCAGCAGTTGGGATAGAAAAATTGTTACCCGTTTTTCCAATTGACCTGATTTTGTTGAGGAACAATACTCCGTAGTGATTTTACTAGAAGAAGGCCAAGCTGGTTATCGGATTAAACGTGGAAAAAAAACCCAGGGCAAATTGAACAGTTTTCGACAGGGAATTAATCTAGATAGATGGCAGCAAGCTGACCCCTTTGGTAGATGAACTTTGCGCTGAACCCGCCGCAGGAAAGTAATAGTCACCAAAAGTTGATTTGAAAAGGAAAACATGTCAGTGACCATCCATCATCAAGATCAAACGTAGCTAAGCCCACACGGACCGGGGAACAGGGACAATTCGTGTAAGCTCATTTGCTTTAATGCCACTTTGAAAACCCAGTGTCTCAGCAGCGGGTGAACTCAGTGCTGCCTGAGAGGAAAAATAGGTAAATTAAGTTGATCTGACCTGAATAAATTTTTAAATACTATAAAAGATAGAGACTAGACTTAGCTCAAATGGTGTGTTGTGATCATCAGTACTTTTTTCTACTGTTGAGTGTCAACTGGATTTGAAAAGTGGAGGAACATCAGCCCTCAAGGGGAGAAGAATTGAGTGTAATTTGCGGTTTTTGGCACTTGGAAGTGATAAATGCAGAGGGAGCCCTCTGCAAACGGGGCTAGGGCCTCTAGGATTTTTTATGCATTGCAGTTGTGAAAGATGATTTTAGAAAAATACAACCAAAATCATGCGCCACCAAGCACCGATGAAGATAGAATCTGTATGACAAACAAAAGATGGAAATCAGTCCAAATTAGTGCTTGCTGAAAAAGAATTTTGTGTAGGTTCAAAGTTGGATAAACAGCAACTTGCCCAGCCCCTCAATTCAAGTCAATTCTTGTATTAAAATCCTGGGCCTGTGGTTGAAGCGTGAATTTGGCCACTTTTTCCAGGTACTACCGGCGAAGCTGAGGTGGATGAGGGGTAGGAACCTGACGGCGGGTGACCTACAGATTCCTCGACCTCGGCGGTTACTGAACTTGAGGCTTCACAATCATCAAGGTTGCTTGGTGAGGTCTGATTGCTTGGTTTTCTAGCTATTGATAACTGGCATAGCTTGAGAAGAGCATTGTTCACAAACCCCAAAATTTGTTTGCTGGCACTGGTCACAACTTCAGAGGAAAAGTCACCGTGAGCGCCATGAAGTATACAATTATGATAGAAAATGGATACAGTAGGGATCAGCTTACCTGGACCTGAAAATGGTATCATGGCTGAGATGTGTCCAATCACATTGCGAGTTAGAGGGATGGCCGCGTCGGTGTGGATTTTGCGGGGGGGATAGGTTGGCAAGGACCGAGGCAGGCCGACAGGAAAAGCTCCAGGTAGCTGCTGGGTTTCGTGGAGGGAAGCGGAACAAACTGTTGGTGATTCGATGCTCATACTGCTGATTCCCAGACCTGGGACCCGAATGGGGAGCAGGATGTCTTCCCCAGTGTTGGTTTTGGAAGATACTTCGGACACCTCTATGACAGTCCATTCAGTTGAATTGAGATCGTTGGCTTTGACGTTTTGAACAACTCCGCCAGCCAGTAAGGTGGCAAGTCCTGGTGAACAAACCATTCGACACCATGAGCTGAGTGTCGCATCAATGGTGGGTGGTACTTGCCGGACTAACCTCCATGATCCTGGGGCTCCCCTCCCACCAAGGCCGGCGTCTCGGGTGTCGAACTAGGAACCGACCTGACTCGTGGGTTTGGGCCATCACCAACACTGGTGATTGTAGCGGGGGATGTCGTTAATGGCGCTTGCCAAAGCGCTTGAACGATTCCTGGGATCTGGGGACTCCCACGTCGAGCCCGTAGTCTAGTATCTGAGCCTGGCGCCGAGAGAGAAAAAAGAATAAACAGTATGTCAGCTATTGATAGGTCACGCGTGGGGTTATGAAGCTCCATACTTCGTACCTGGTATGTTGGGATTGACCGCGGGTTCCGTGCGGGGAGAGCTGAGACGAGGGCTGGTGCGAGTTATATTCCTGGCAGCTGTGGGCAGGTTGGCGGATGACCGGCGACGAGGACTGCGAGGATGACCAACCGCGGATGACAAGCCGGGAGTTGAGCGGCGTCGTAAAGTGCGTGTGCCGATGACCACGGCGGTGAGGTTAAGACCTAATCAGTGCTTCTGGTCGTCCACAAGCTGTATCAACTCGAGTTTGGTGAGTGATGAGCGCAGATGGATTTCGGTTTCGTGTTTTTTTAAGAAATGTATCATTTCGCCTTTGGTTACATTCGGTGCTCGTGGATCAAAAAGGCTGGCATCCATGGCGCAAGAGGAGGTGGACTGTTGGTTGAGTTTCTCAGGAACGGAGGGTGGGGGTGCTGGCGCTGTTGGTCGGTAAAATCAAAGCTGCACATGGTATAGGTATTACCAGTCTTGAGCTGACAGGTTCTTCAATTCGTGGGCGCTGTCGTGAGTGTTTGCTGTTGTTTGGGCATGCTTGTAAATACATAGCTGTACATACATGCATACATATATGTACATACTTTTTTCAGATTTCAGCTCCAGAGCTCTCCAGAGTCCAAGACCATTGCGGACTATTGCAGCCTATTGCAGCAGTGTACAGCCCCGCCCTCAAGACACAGCCAAATACCCAATTCAAAAACTTTCCATCGAAGTTGGTTTTCTGGTTAACCCGAGCAGGACTCTAATCACTTGGCGACCAAAATGGATGGGTACCACAAGTAAGTAATCGTTTTATCAATCATACAATTATACAGAACTCAGCGGTGTTCTGACAGGGACTAATTAGGCGATCTGGCCTCTTATCATCCCTTCATTTCATTTTCATATAGCAATTGACTTGCACCGGTACTGACTTGTTTACATCCGGCATCTCTCTATGCAGCCTGCTTCACCGGGCGACATGTCATCGCTATCCCCAACACGTCAAAGGTTCGAGACTAGCGTATTCTTGATCAGGAACTCAATTCACTTTGTAAGCCCACCGGCGAGTTCCGCATTATCTCGGCATTCCTAGCCATCGGTCAAATCCATCTGTGGAGTAGGTCAAACACATTCACGAGCTGGATTGGGTCGAATATCCAATAATTACGTCACAAATTATCAACATCAACTTGGCACTTCAGTTAGATACGCTTTTGAATGTGGTCCTTTCAAGAAATATTGTACGTCGCTGTCCTGTTTTGTCATCAACTACATAACTTCTGTTGTCACTCGACGACTATACACCGTATTTAAACATCTTGTGCTCTGCCTTCCGTTACGTTGCTCCAGAAAGTCGGACTGCCGCTATCTGACATTCTGCGCTTCGAACCACTTACCGTGAATTGCGTCCAGCTTTGCCATCTGAACTTCCAACTCGCTAGTACTCACCGCCCTATACCTTTGCAATGGAACATCAAGCAAAGCCTTTTGACCCCTACCACCCTCAACATCATAAGGATGACCTAATTTTTTTTCTTCGTCAAAATGACAAAACTATCTTCATTCCTTCTTCATCTCGCTTGACTGCTACGCACATGCCCATCAGCAAATTCAGATGAGAGGTAAGTCTTTCCTTTGCTTTCAGCAATTGGTGCAACTTTTCTGATAAAGTTGTTTGTTGAACAAACTTCAAACTTATTAGCTCCTCCGGTTACCCCAACTCCCACCAGCCGCCAGTGCACGATTAGCAAGCAAGGGCCTAGGACCCCCTCCACGAGTCCCGGAACCCCGCCCACTCGCTCTATATCCGCTTCGCCTCTCCAAGCTAAAAAAGTACCACGCAATGCTCGCTCCACCCCTTCCCCTATCAAACGCCACGACGCGATCACCAACAATGAGCCCGGGGACTCAGAGAAACGACAGTGTGTTGAAAAAACTGAACTAGGTCAGTGTGATTGAGCACTAGTTATTTTATTCACCGTGTTAACCGGCCATGGCCATTCCGGATTTCTTAGCTTTTGTACACAAGGCGCCCATCAAACCAAACCCGCAAAAGCCAGTTACTGGAATCCGGCCTTTGCTTGAAACTAGTATGACAGGTCAGTATCATCCACGCCGCATTGATCATTTCAGTACACTCACATTTTCGTGGCTTATCTTCCCTGTCTACATAGGTGTCGCTCCCAAGACCCCCGCAAAGCCAAATGTGAACACCGTTGTCCAATTATTCTGCCTTGAAGTCATCTGGGAATGGTTCCCTGAATGCAAACCTCAACACTTCTGAATCGGCAGGTAATCAAAGTTGGTGATCAACCGTTTCATCGATCTATGGAACTCTAGCTCACTTAGTACCTTTGCCGATGTAGTTATTGTCCCCATTCCTGTCAACAAGCAATTTGCACGCATTGCCTCTCAGAAGGATGAGCCAAAGTCTCCTATCCCAGAGGGTCCGTGAAATTTCTCTAACTGCACTCTACTTGCCCCGAGCTAACATCTCATCGAGCCTCTATGGACAAAGCTCAAAGTGTTGTCCAACAAACGGACAACAAGCAGGAACCGTCGATTCCTCCCAATGCGCACACACCAATGGATGCTCTCATCAATCACCTTACCGATTTCATAACTGCTAGGAACAAATTCTTAAGATCCGCAAACGATGCTCTCACGAAGCTGCAAGAATACAAAACAAACAACCTACACAATATTGCTCCCAATCCTGTCCCACCATCCTGGAAAACCACAATCAACCAAGCCTCCAAACCAGGCAATTTGGAACCGACGCTGGAGTTTGATTTTAGTGTAGCTCCCTCAGCGACACCAACTTTTTCCGATTACGTCCTGGCTGAACCACGTCCCTTAGCTGTCCACGGTGAACCTCATAATGTCAAGGAACAAGTCACACAATCGTTCAACTCACCAGAAAGAACCTTGTTTGGTGCTCAAGCTTGTGTTGTTGATCTGACAACATCTCGTGATGCAACACAATTTGCAGCTGCGCCATGCCGCACATTAATCCGACATTCCTTCAAGGGCATGTGCCCTCCTCGAGTAGAATTTACCTCCATTCTCAACTTACTGACCCTCTTTCCGCTTATTTTGGAGCCTTCTTGGGTCTCGTCTGTAATCAAATCTGGCACAATCAAATCTGGTCTTGATTCCCGGGCACTCATCAACAAACCAAGCTCCCTTCAAATCGAATCAAGTCGCGATGAAACACTGCCAGGTAATTTGACTAACCTCATTAATGTTCAATAATTACTTTGGCAAAAGAAACTGATAGATTGCCTGCTTCAAGTCATCAATTTTACTTGCACGCACGGTTTGGCCGCAAGGATGCAATTTGCCTCACTTCCAAGTACAGGCGACTTTCAAGCAGTTAACCTACATACCTCCGACAATTCCTTTCCTAGCTTGACCCGACCTCCCAAAAATCAGTTGGTCGAATCCAGTACACCCACACTGCAAATGCTACCAACCAAAGGGCCGTCACTCACATATGAAGATGGTTTGGCGGCGTCTACTTCGTTGGAAAATGCTTTGCATGAAGCCATGCGCGGTTGAGCATTTATTCTTTTTATTGTTTCATTGTTACTAGTACATTTGTTCTGGGCAAAATGCCGACGTCCCTTGTTGAAGATCTGCTCCAAGCCTGAATTATGTGAAATCAAAGCAAAAATTGTAACTTTTTCAATCATGAGCAAATAAAGTTTTAATCATGAGGAATTACAGAGTGCAATAAAGCATCTTTGAATGTATGTTAGACATGTCATTCTTCCAGTTGGGTTCATGCAGATTCCAATCCAAGACACAGAATTTTGTCGAGAGAACAGAAACACATCATGGCTGTCCATATGGTATTTAGGCTGAAATTGTTGAACTTCTTGGGGTCATTAAATTACCTGTAATGGTAGTGTAAAGATAGAGTAGTGATTCTGCACTCACTACATATCATTACTTTTCCCATAATTTTCAGACATTTTTTGCATATTACATTATCCATTCTGTCTCCAAATTTTTTCCCCTGCTCATTACACTATCAGCAACTTGTAGATTTTTTTTCTTTTTGAAAAAATCCCAAATATTGGTAAGAAATATAGAGCTTCAGGAAATTTATGGCATGTGTTCACAGTTTTTTTTTGGTCCCTTGGCAAGGGAATTATAGGATCTGCAGCATCTGCAGATGTGTTTAAACAGGTCCTCATGGGCCATGTCTAAAAGGTGGTAGGCAAAGAACTTGGCAGGGCAGAAAGCTTTGCCAACTTAATTCTGGAGCCCCTTGTGTCTGAAACACACAAAGTTGGACCCATGGCCCAACCAACTGGATGGCCCACATGTAGCGCTGGATCCCGTTCCTGGGGTCTCAGGGTATGCCCAAAGGGTACACCACTGGTATCGGGCTCCGGGATGGCTTGTCAGGAGCTCAAGCACCGACGGGTATCCCAGGGTACGGTTGCCGGGCTGGCTCAGAGATCCCGGCGGGAATTCCGGGAATTTGGGGCAAGGGAAAGGGGGGGGGGGGGCTGATGATCATTGGTAGTTATTGAATGTTTGTGTTACATACAACCATGAACAACTAGAAAAAGAACAAGAAAAGTAATGAAAAAAAATATATTAGAGGTCAGTCAAACTTGGAGTCCTCCCAACTTGCCAAGTCCCAGGAGGAGGGACCCAAATAAGGCCGGGTATACCTGTGTAGAAAACAGTCCCGCGGGAAAATTAAATTCCCGTGTACCGTTCCCCATACCCGAAGGGAAGAGCTCGGGCACCATGTTTTGCCTTCCCGGCTGAAGGGTATACCCGCGGGTCGGGGCGCCGGGCAGCCTGAGAGGTGCCGGGTACCCTGCGGGATCCTGCGCTACCCACATGCCAAATGTCAGTTTTGCGGGTGGTTTCGGTGCCTTGTGCATCTGTGTGTGTTTTTACCAGGGATGGTGAGGTCAAATAATCAAGACTTACGCACTCTTGGTATGAGCAACAATGTAACCAATTTGATCCCCAGATTGGTATGTATTGAGGATTAGATTGAAAACCCCTACAAAACCAAGGATCAGCATCAGATCAGAAGCCCAATCTGATCCCCATTTATTGTTCAGGTAAGATCAGTCAGGTATTGGCATCCAATCCAGGGTTTGGGAAACCCTGGAACAGTATCAACTGGCAATCCAATACCACCAATCCAGGGCACTTTTTGGGGGGATACTCATAACAGCTCAATTGAAGTGAAAGTAGTGATTAGTGTGTTGACTGTTGCTCCACAAAATTATAGATAATGGTGTGCTGTCTTAAGATTTATCTCAACAGGTTAGGAGTACCATGCAGTTGAGCTTAACTTGCATCAATTTTACATGTAAGACTCTGTGATTGTTCACTTGTTATTGTAACTGTTTCATTATTTCCTGGGGGGATGTATGTATTGGATGGGGTTTTTCAGCCAGTGAATTACACACCATACCAGGTGGCTCACAATAGGCTTTGCTAGCCTGCAGCTTTTTTGCCTCAAATGAAGCATGGACTTGATGTATGTTTTTTTGCCTTCCTAGGCAGCTGTGCACCCCTTTCACCTATTCAACCTGTTGGTCAGTCAAACCAACTCATATCGTGAGGCAGAGTTGTTGCTGGATATAAGGACATTGTTCATCAGACCATGGCCATGGCAAGACAGTTTGGACCTCCAAGTGTCTTTGTGACAGTGAAAGCAAGCCTCTCTTGAAGGTTTTGACTTCCAAATGCAGATGGCATCAAAGGAGAGTAGCATGTGACAACTGCTAGGTGTGGCCATGGTCCAGAGCATTCAAATCAATCCCTAAAATTGAAAAATAATTCTTACCACCAATGATTTCCAAGTCAAATCAAATGAAACCGGCACAATATTCACCATTTCAAAATGAAACCTGCCACCTGGGGACTAGTTTGTACAAAATGAAATTGACCTTCTGGCCCAAGCCAACGTGACTTCATTTTTGTCTTGCACCATGATCATTTACATATTTGCATCTCCCATTTCAAAAGGGATTGATCTTTGCAATTGTATTATGTGAAGAATCAGAGATAAGACCAAGATGCTTCAATATTGTAGTGTGAACAGTAGCTTTGGAAGGGAACCATGAATGAGGCCTAAACATTGCTTTGGTCATCCAGTTTGCAAGTGCTGGAATGTTGTCAATTTGGCATCCAGAGACAAATGGAAGTAGATGATTCTGCTAGCTTTGGTGCTCCTTTTTGAGCCACTGGCCACCACTGAACTGACCACTATGGATTTTTTGGACACGATGAAACTGCAGGCCCTCATGTTCAGATATCAACCATGGGCAGATGTGTGCTGGAAGTTGAACTGATCAGTAGTTTAGTAGCCATACCTGGCTGTATCCATGGTTAACAACAATAGAGGAACATTGATATGCAAAGAATATCAATCAACAAAGTATGATGCTATTGAGCAGAGAACAGCAAGATAACACTAATTCACAAATCAGTCTAGCTCTGACCAGGTTAGGAAGCAGCTTGACATTCATGTTTCAGCGGTCAAGACAGACAAGAGCAAATGTGTCGTAATTTATTTTTTTATCTATTTGATTGGCACCATATCTCATCCAGGCACAATGGGCTAAAATTTCACTTGAATGTATAATAGCATTTCTTGACTGTACTATCTTTCGAAGTTTCAGCCCGATGGTGTAATTTTCCAATTGTGCAAATGGTTGTGAATGGTCAGGAGACAGCACAGGAACCAGTGGCTTTACGGCAAACCAAGTATCTGTGTGAGATATATTATCAGGGGTAACTCGGGAATGTTGAAAAATACGTTCTATGATACTGTAATCAGCCGCCTGCACGTTTGGTTTCAGAGCAATGATGCTGTTGTTTTCGTTTTTCTTGACGGTAGAGAATAAAACATGCTGATCGCTGCCGATGACTACATTTGAAAGCTCAGTAATGCGTGAATTAAGGATTGCAAACTTGTCAACATCTTCAGCTTTGATCTTGTCCCATTCATCAGAAGCGATCCATGTTCTATTGGGGAGTGGAAATAATTGGTTGATTCGAAAAATCAAGCTGGTGAATAGACATCTATCAAGTTGCTTGACTTTCTTAAGGTTGGACGTTTTGGCGACAAAAGGTATTGGGTTGTATAGGGATTTTACTTGACAAATGAAAGGTCCCAGTTCTGCAGGAAGAGTGGGACTATCCAAGAGAGAGCGAAGGTTTGCAAGCCAATAGAAATTGCTTAAACAATTTATTTCGAGATCTCCTACAGATATGCAGTGTCCATTAATAAATGCAGTGGAGAATCTTCTAGCCAAATCAAACAATTGACGCACCTAAGTGGTTGTTTGTAGATGCTTTGAGCACACTACCCATGAGGCGCTCCATGGAAAAGGCCCACCACGCCCGACACGGACCTAATTTTTTGAGACAATCTGCCAGATGGAAAGCCATATGGTGGTTTGGAGCTAGGTTCGAATCAGGGAAGAGAACCAAGCAGCTTTTGATATACTCGTACAAATGATGGCGGTACTGGTCGATTTGATTTTTGTTCATTGTTCGCTTCAGGGCAATATTGACAAGGGAGACTAGGTGTGCAAAGTTGTGAAGGAGCGATTGATTTCCGGGTTGGGCACTGCTCCAAAATACAGGCAAAATGAGGGGCAACTGGATTGTGAAGAGGTTTCTCCACTCATCGGCTTTCAGACGTCCAAACGAAGCTTTACCAAGGACTGGAATGGCTCTCCTGATCCAAGTGGGGATGTGAACACTTTTCAGGTTTTGATTAATGTATGTGAGAGCTTCTCGATCGAATACTATCTTGCCATGCGAAGGTGGAACCCAACAACCATCCCATGATATGCCTTCAGGCAGAAAATCTGCATCGCTCAAATTAACAATGCTTCCAAATAACATTTCACCAAAGGGGATCTCTTCAGATTTTTCGGAGTGAGGGCTAGCTGGTCTTTCCGGAGGGTTTGCCATCATCGATTCGGCTAGTAATTGATGCAGCTCTCGACTTGCAACTTTTGTGGGTTCTGGCTCATCGTCAACATCAGACATTTGCCAGAATTGTGTGCAGTGCCATTTGAGGAGTCCTAGAAGCAGGTTGTGCATTGAGTCAACAACGTGGTAATCTAAAATATTCCAGTACGAAAGCTCCAATAAAACTGAATATCAAACCCCATGATCGTCGAGTATCTGTTTTTGAGCTTTGAGATTGGGGGCCTCCAAGGATTCTTTTGCCCAGTGGCGATGGTCATCAAGGACCCGCAATGGCCAAGATTCCTTCTCGATGTTATTGATGTCTTTTTTGTCAAGAAGGCAGTAAGAACACATACGTTTTGCCGAGTGAGCAGCAAAGCCCAAGGATCGGCGGAGCGCGGGGAGATCGGCAAAAAAAGGCAGCAAGGCGGCAAAGATAAGTCGACCTGCGGAGTGTTCGTGTGTTCTGGATAGATAGAGGCCAGGTTCCCATAGAGATTTCAGTTGTTCGATGACCGGCCTGAGTATCCAATTAACTTCCTCAAGAGATGGCTCCTTAGGGCCAGGGGCAATTCCAGCGATAAAAATGTTTTCAGGGCGATAGCGGAGGTCAACCGGAAGACTTAAACAAACCAGAATAATAAAAGTGACTGAGGCATGCTTGCCGGCTTGCTGATTACCATATGGATTGATACCGTCCATGAACATGCCAAAAACTAGATTGCTGGAGTGTGCCGTGAACTGCTGCCCATTTGGACCACAAAACTCTTTCCAAAGACGCGAATCGTGAATGTCAGACATCTGCATCGTAGCATTGTATGGGATTCCCGACCTGGCCGCTACGGCAGTCAGAGCGTCTTCTATTCCTGCCCTGGAGAAGAAGCGGGCCAACCAAATGTGAAGGTTATGAAACGCAAAACGGCGAACGGGATAGCGGCGGGACCTTCGTTCACAAAACAGATCGACTCCACAGAGGTGCCGTTCGGCTAGCTCGGCTTCCTCGTCCAACATTTTTGGTACTTCATCTGGCGTGTCTGCTTCCTCCGGTTTATACGAATGGAAAATGGAATGTACACAGCTTTCCGGGGCTGTAGCTTCAGGATACATTGCAAAACACTTCGGGCAGCAGATCAAATAGTTGAGATCTGCATTGATTGCAAGATGGCGAATGATTGTTTGGGTGCATTTGGGGTAAGCGTCGAGGGCAATGTGCTCCGAGTAGCTGAGAGCGCGAGGTTGAATCGAGGGGCTCAGGCCTTGGGAAGCAACAATTTCCATCAGCTGATGGTAGAGTTTCAAAAGGTAAGATGATGCTGCAAGCGAAATCTGCTGGGTGACATAGAAGAGGACTGTCTTCAGGTTAACGATGAATACAGCCGGGGTCTTGTTGACAGTATCAAGATAAAATCGGGCTGGGAAAGTATAAATTAAGAAAATTAATCTCAGAAGTGGCATTTATAACACCAAAGGAGCACATACCACAGTCAAATTGTAGAGGATCTTTCCCGTGAAGCGGTTCCAATTGGCGCGGTGCAATTTTTGATTGTTGCAGGTTGGGTTGGATTGATAGAGCTTCAAATGCATCCTGTAGATCGTCGACAGCAAGAGATGGCGGTGTATTGTCAAGAAGTGGTGGTGGGGCAATTGGAAGTTGTCCTGTATTGAGTCATACCGTCATAAAAATAGAGTCAATATGAATAGTGGGAAATATGATGATAATGACTTACCGGTTGCCAATTTCACAATACACCTATTCCGCTCTTCGAACATAACGTGAGTGCGACGGATTTTGGCACTAACGTATTGGCCAAACTTCATAACGCCTGCCTCATCGTACCTATGGTTCGAACAGCCCTGACTAATACAAGTGCACAGAACTTTTGATCTGGTGGGCATTGGCCTGAAGCTGCGGAATCTGTGGATCCTGTAGATTTAGGAGAAGAGAGTCGGCCCAGGAAAAAGCAACAGTAAAAAATTAGTGGGCGGCGCGAGATGCAAGATGAAACAACTAACAAACTAAGCGGAGAGCCACATACAACATAGACCAATATGTACGGTCTAGTCAAGATGAAACAGGGGATCGGCCTAGCCCAAGACAGACACGCCATCCGAGTCTGAATAGTCAAATTGGTAGGAGACAATGTACCCAAGGAGCCGTCACCCTCGACAAGCGGAAGCGTGTTCGGTTCCCGTCGCGCCAGAATCGGGTCAATTAAATCCAACATCGACTGGCATCTGGATCGGCCCGTCCTCCTGTGATAACGGCAGCTTCCTGCCGGTTGCATACACGCTCAAATGTAGTGCATTTCTAGAAGCACTTGAGATTGGGTGCCCCTGTCAACAACGAACAGCATTAGCATCATAAATTGACCAGAGGAAACCTCGCACTACGAAGTAAATATCAACTCGGATTTGCTCATAGACCACTCGCCTATGGCTTGCGACTTGGTCCAGAACTTTGAGCACGATGTGAGCCGTATCATCAAAAGAGTCTTAGACCAAGTTGTCGTCAGGCGCATAAGAGTACAAGATCTCAGCATTCACATATTTTTTGCTCTGCGGCTCGAGATTGAGTGCGATCCGTGTTGAGCCCTGGATCTTGCGGAGTAAGGAGACCGACTCGGATCCGGTGATACTTCGCTTGGTGCGCGTGTGACGAGACTCTCGGCCAGACCAACGCTCTAAGACTGAGGCCGTAGGAGAGGTCGCTGAGTCGGAGCCGAATCTTTGGCCAGCGTAATTCTTAACTCCTGCAGAGCCGAGCATACAAATTAGTCAAAGAAATATGCACCACAAGCAACACTGGGAAGTTACATACGTTACGATATCTGGGCTAATTTTTGTAACGTAACTTTTTCCGTTATATTTTTTTTGGTTAAAGTTACTTTTAACGTTTAGAAATTGTGGCCTCACAAAACGTAACTGTCTTTTTTTATTATTTTTTGGACCAAGCTGTAACGTAACTTTTGAAATAAAAAAAAAACAATTGAATAACGGGATAACTGTAAAAAATCTCCAATGGGAGCTGAGCTAGATAAGGATGACTAATTGTAAAAAAAAACTAAGAGCGGACATAAGAGGCAGGGTTCAAACAATAATCATGACCAGCTACATACAAATCTTCCTTCTTTTTATTCATATTTTTTGGTCTCTTGAAGATATCACCATTCTTGATGTCTCTAAAGGTGTTGGCTGTTTTTTTGTTAACTTGAAGTGACAAAGCCATACGTTCATGAGAAGAAGATTCAACAGCTGGAAGAGTGCAATGCCTTACTCTTCTTGAAGCCCAAACAAGCTTCACAATACCTTTTTGTTCAGAGAAATTGATTCCAATACCATAATCTGGAAAAACAAATGCACCACCAGTGATATTGTAATTTTCAGATGGGTTTACAAGAGTACCGTCAGCCGTTTTGGTTGGAAGGAATAGAGCAAATGCAAAATCTTGCAGATCTTCATCGTCTTTGTGTGGTGGATTATAAAAACCGCCCGTGGTGAAGGTTAAATTTGGTGAGCAGTCGAACTCGCCAAGTGGGTCTTGATGATGTAAGGATGCAAAGGCAGGGATAGAGTTTGCCTTCATGAGATCACGATTTTGTTCGAAAGCGACATTTGCAAGATTTTTGAACATCTTTCCTAGAATCTTTGAAGGCCGGGGTGAAGACCGCATGTGGGAATCGTATTCGGCCTTGGCAGCTCGAATTTTTGCGCTGTTAAGATAGAGTCCAGCAAGCTTAAAAGCATCCATACACTTTCGCCATCCAAACGCCCACATTTTCCCACCCCAGCAGCGTGGTGCGGACGAGATCGAGTTGACAAATCTTTTGCATTTGTGAAGGAAGGCGGTCACAATGTTCAGGTCCCTGATTTGTTGAGGTGATAGTTCTTCAAGTGGAGTGAACTCGATTATCGCAATTATTTCATTTTCGTTATCCTCATCTAGAACAACTACTTTTCCATGTCCAAAGTAGAAAAAATCTTCTGCAACTGATTGTGCATGTTCAAGCTCGGCAGGTGTTGGTTTTCGGTCGCCCTCCAAGATCTGATGGGGGAAGAGTTCACACGGTTTGTATTTTTGTATCGACCAGACAATGCGCTCGGGGGGTAACGAGGGATCAGGATCATGGCCAGAGAGCCTTAATTCAGAGGTTCTATCATTTGATCGCCGTTCGTTACGATTGTCTCGTTTTCGTTGCTTGAGATATTCTTTTCTGTTGCTTGACATGCTCGCTAGTTTTTCAGTTCTATCAAACAATCACACCAAGCCCAAAACAGACCATTTAGTTATCTTGGGTTCGATGATAAACAAGTGAAATTGTTAACTAACAGAGCGAAATTAAGCCAACTTGAATTGGGAATTATTTTAAGTGATCAAGTCTTCTTGATATTTTCTTTGATGGAATTCAATTTGCTTGAAGTGTCAGCCAACCTTGATGGAATTCAGTTGTTCAAGAGGATCAACTCACCTTGATGTGATTTGATCGGTTGAGAGTACCAGCCAGCCTTGATGAAATTCAATCGGCTGAGAGTAGCAGCTAACCTTGATAAAATTTGATCGGTTGGAACAATCAGCCAAATTCAAGTTCAACAAGTTTATCAGTAGTTCTTTAACCAAATGCGATCACAAACAAACCAGCTAAAAGAGGAGAGCACTCCAATCAAAGTTGTACAATTGAAAAAGACTGATCGCCTATAGGTTTAATCGCGATCAATGGAGAATGAGATAGCTGGTTTTATCAATGTATAATTGTAACAATCAGTCTCTGTACAGCTATGATCAATCGCGATCAGGGACATATCAATAAAACAGCTTACTGATAGCCTTTTAGAACCAAGTTCGATATCGGATGTGATTGTTTGATGAAATTCAATCAGTTGAGAGTGGCAGCTAACCTTGACAGAATTTGATCGGTTGGAAGAATCAGCCAAATTCAAGTTCAATAAGTTTATCAGCAGTTCTTTAACCAAATGCGATCACAAACAAACCAGCTCAAAGGGGAGAGCACTCCAATCCAAGTTGAAAAATTGAAAATGACTGATTGCCTATAGGTTTAATCGCGATCAATGGAGAATGAGATAGCTGGTTTTATCAATGTATAATTGTAACAATCAGTTTCTGTACAGCTATGATCAATCGCGATCAGGGACATATCAATAAAACAACTTACTGATAGCCTTTTAGAACCAAGTTCAATATCGGATGTGATTGTCTGGTGTCAATGTCTTATCACAACGATCAGCAAAATATTCCTCATTCTATTCAGAGAAAGACTACATTGTTAGTATAGCTGGTCTTAATCGAAATCAGTAACATACCAATAAAAAGAATATGGTTGTGCTGTCAAGTTGAAAGACTAAACTTGCCAGAAAAAGCAAGAAAAACTTGATAGATAGCTAGTCGAACCAAAGTGGATATCAGATCAGTGAGATCCTTGATGATATAAATTGATCTCGCTTTCCAAGCTGTTTGGGTCTGGCTTTTCACTTGGTTGAGGCTTTACTTCTGAAAATGATTGAGACAAAAAAAAAAAAAACTTACTGTGCAGCAGTTGACAGTAGGGTAGAGCTCTGGTCTATTCACGATAAATCCTGTTGATAAAAAAAAGAGGATACAATTAGCATGAATAAAATGCTTATGATAGGACGAGTAGAAATTTTTTTTGTAAAGAGATGGGATGGCTTTCTTGAGCTGCATCACATTTGCCCCCACATGATGGCCCATTGACTTACCTCCAAAAGGCACGACCAAGTTCTTTGATCATACTCAATTGAAGGGATGTGAGCCGGTGGATTCAATGCAAGCAGCAAGCAGCAAGAGATTCTAAATCTGAAATGATTGTTCGAGAGAGAAGGATTAGTGATTTAAGTATGACTCACCCAGCGTTGGTGAAAATCGGGAACTTAGTCGGATTGTTCGAAGATTGTGAGCTGGTTCCGTTTGAGTGAAAATCAGGAACCAAGTCTGATGTGCCATGTGAGTAAATTTCATGCAAGAAAATGGGACGATTTATGCATATGAGGTATGCATTATTCATATGGAACAAACATTTTCTCATTTATTTCAGCGGTTCTATGTATGCCCAAAATGAAGAATTGATATATTGAAAGCCATAGCCACTGGATTGGATAGGGTCTTTTTGAATCTTTACTCCAAATTCAACATTCTCTTAGTTTTTTTTTGCATCTCATTGCATTGATGTTGATACCATACCACAAAAACTTGAAATTAAGAATGATGAATTTAAGCATAATCATCAAGTAAAACTATTAATAGCTCCCTTGAGAATGAATTCAAATTGAAGTAAAACCAATCCAAACTCATGGTGGTGTATATTTGAATTGCAATAGCTTTGACATATAATCTTTGAGCAACAGGTATATATCTCAATAATTATTTTGAAGTATTTTGCAATCATATTACAAGTTGTAAATTGTATTGAAAACATTTGAGCTTAAGAATTTTAAAAGAAGGTTTCCAAATCAATGGGAAGCTCTGCAATGAATGGTTGAGCTTTCATCTAGATCTGATTCAATTATATTTATCAACATGAGTGTTTGGTTCAAGTGGTAAATTTTAGATGAAATTGGAAATGGGACCTAGGTCACAAAATATAAAGTCTGTTAAATCAGATAAATTCCCAACAATTGTTTGTTCAAATACAATTCAAAAATTATTTTTTTGGGAAATTGACTAGTCTGGGCCTTAATGTAGCACAGCAGGCAACTCCTCAATAACTGGTGAAAAATTGTTTCTGATCTGTGCCATTTGGGAAATAATCTTATCAAAATATAACATGCACATATTTTCCATATAAATCAGATTAAATGAATGTTTTGCTTTGTTATAATGATTCAACTCAGGCTCAGACCTAGCATCTCTTTGGAATGGTCTCAGATTCAGTTCATTTCTGTTCATTTTCTCAAATTGTCCTGCTACTATGAGTCCCAAGTCTTAAGGAAGATCTTTTGGCTTAGGGTTGAATACATGCATTTCTTGGATGCAGGGATCATTTCCCAAAGTCATCAAACATATGGATGAATATATAAATTTGTTGAATGCAGGGGTCATTTCCCAAAGTCATTAAAAAGGTCAAACAGGAAGTGTTTGTGCCACAGTTTCCAATTATAATACATTTTCATCATGTATCAGAATCATTCAGGAGTTCTAGCTTCTTGGAGAGGCATCATAAATTTATTTTAAATGGGTCTAAGTGCTTCAATTTGAATTTCTATCAAATTATCCTTGGTTCTACTTTGAATACATAAATATCATCAAAAGAAGATCAAATACATCACGGCTGAGAAATTTCCAAACACATCTGATAAATTAAAAACCAACTGCACAAGAGGTGAGGTCCTACTGGCTGGGCAACACTGGAGTAGAAATTGAAAGAAGGTGAACTGATTTGATTCATATTTATGTTTGGAAATGTTTCATCACAAAAGGTGAACCAGACACCCCTTCTGGTCTGACTTTTTTCATACCAATCCATGTGTATTTTCCCAGTGGTTTCAATTTTAACATCTAGAATAATTTTAAACGTCTCAGTTGAGGCCCATAGGGCCTGAGTTAGACTGACACAATCTTCATGGAAACCCCCTGTAAATTGGTCCGTTCAATTCCAAATTCCCACGCAGAGGAGGTTGTCCCAACCGGACACAAAGTCACTTTTTTGGCCTTCATTCCATACTGAAACATCTCCTCCTCCAAAGCTCGTAATCTCAAATCAACTCACCACATAACCCAAAATAATTCACCACCCATCGACCAGCTATTTATCTAAAATGCGTACTGATCCCCAATCAACCGCTTTGGCTCCCACTTCAGAAGATCCCTCTGGATATGCCACCGATCAAAGTACAAATGGACCTCGTCGCTCAAGCCGTGTGACCACCCCAGTGCAGTCACGAACCCTTGTATCCACTCCTGCAGATTCCCGACGTAGTTTGGTAGCCGCTCCAAATGCCAGTGCCAACAAGCGTCGCCGACAAGTGACGGCTTCTCCTCAAGATTCAGTAGTCGCCAGCTCCCAGGGAACGCTAAACAATCAAATCAAACAACCACCAATCAATAAACAAAAGAAAAACACACAAATCGAACAAAAGAAAACACCAAAAAGGCCAGCCAAGGTGCCAAAGCGACCAACATACCTTCCATCAAGAAATTCAACCCAAGGCAATTCTCAGCCTCCTGGATCAGCAATTCTGCCGAGTAAAGTTACCCAAACTACCAACAGCCTAGCATCACAAGTAAGTTTATCTTCTCTACCGTTCAAATAAGATCATGTGCTGATAAGATATATATGTTTGACACAATAAAAGGGGGACAAAGACGACTATGACTACGACCAGGATTCGGATGTTGAAATACACGCAATCAATTCCAAAGCTCGAGTCCGAGGTCACACAAATGCAGAAAAATCAGATGATGAAGAGGACAACTACTCATTTGTTGATGACTTTTTTGAACCTCCATTCTGGAAAGAAGGGGTCAGTAAATATTTTTCTCTTTGTTTAACTTTGACCCAGCTTTCTATTGACTGATTCATTTCCTATCAAACAGGATGTCCCTGGAACGTTGTTGAATTACAAGTGCAAATGGTGTCATGTCACCTATCGAATCCACGGAACTTCCCGGGCAAACTTAAAAACTCATCGTGATGGATCCGCTCAACTTTGTAAAAACAACAAAGGATGCAAGCAGCGAGCGAAGGCCAAAAAAGAAGGCCACCGATTACCCGAAAGTGTTGCAGAGCAGCAGGCTAGAAAGGCGAAAGAAATCGAAAAGTCAAAACAGACCACACTCAATGGGTTCTTATCAGCCAAGAAGTTTGAACGACGAGTCCTGAACCAGATCATAGTTGCATGGCAAGTACGGCAAGCACTTCCTTGGTCCCGCATTGAAGATCCCTACCTACGAGCCGCCTTTCTCTATGCAAATAAGGATGCCCGTTTATATTCTCGAAAATGGGCTGCTGATGAGGCCAAACAATTATATGTTGGCCTTCGAAAACAAGTGTTTGATTCTTTGAAAGTATTCAAAATTCCTCTGCTATATCATTCCACTCTTTTTCTTATTCGATACTGATGAATTTTGTTTGATATCCATTACCAAGAATCTTGACACCACTTTTACGCTCATCCATGACGTTTGGACGACTAAAGGAAATCGATTTGCCTTCATTGGTGCGGCAGTAACCTTCATCAACTCCAATTGGGAGTTTATTGTGAGGCACATGTCACTCAAAATGATTCCCTGGAAGCACAGGGGAGAGCTCTTGGCACGACCAATTGCCAACCTCCTCACAAAAAATAATCTACACCAAAAGATGAGTTATCAATTTATCTTGTGGTTATGGGCAACTGGTACTAATTTACATATCCTCATTTACATGCTAGCCCAAACCACAGATTCTGGATCGAACAACAATACCATGGCCAAGAAAATGTACGAGATATTCGAATTGTCTGGAAATTTGACTACCAGTTGGGATCCGGAATCGATGCACATACGGTGCTTTTGCCATAAGCTTGCTTTAATCGTGAACGCAGGCCTACAGGCTTTGGCTCTCAAGACCTTGCCTCCCGGTAAAACCAAACATTCTGTGTTGGGTTTTTTTCCAGTTCTGGGAAAGTTGGCTGAATTGCCTGAAGAAGACGAAAACAATGATCCAGGCAGTGATGTGCAGGAGATCACTGTTGCCAGCCAACCTGAAGAAAATCCTGATGAAATCGAAGACGAACAAGAAAGTGATTATGGTAACGCAGATGATGAAGAATCTAGTGAAGGGACCGAATCGGATGACGATCCAGATGCTGAGCCTAGAAAAGGTGAAAAGTCTGGTGAAGGTCAGATGGCCAAAGATAAACATTCCAGATCTGCAAAGCTGCGTGATTTAACTCTTCAGGTATGTTATAATTCTTCATAACGATTTTGTTTACATTTTTTATCACAATTTGATTTTGTTTACTTTTTATGGTCACACTTTGATTTGTAACTCTTAGCTTGACACTGTCATCAGGCAAATTACTCGATCCTCAGCTACACGGGGTCTCTTCCAACAAACTGCTGATGCACTCGGAATTAGATGTTCACCATTGATTGCTGGCTATGGCATACGATGGAACATCAAGTATGAGAGTCACAAGAGGGCTATATTAGCTCGAGAGGTCAGTTCCAGATTTAAAATGGTTTCAATTCTTATATTCAATATTAATTTGATAATTTTTTAGGTCATTGACAAAATCTTGAAGGATGATCAAGAGAGTGTCGAGAAATCCCGACGAAAATCGAGGAACAAGAACAACTCAGCCACCGATCCTAACATTGGAATCTTCAATGATGTTTCTTTTTCCCCTGTTGACTGGCAAGATATTGAGGAACTTAACTCTGAGCTCGAGGTGATTTCACCCACCCTCATGATTTAAGACATGTGATTTCTGACCTTAAATCTTCTTAGGTTTTTGTGAAGCTCACCGAAGACATGGAGGGTGATCATCCATCTGGTGCGCATGTCATCCCCAAGTACTTGGAGCTGAAGGAGGACCTTGAAGAGAAAACAAATGCGGCCGCAGAGAGTGATGCACTTTATCCAATGTATTGTGCAATGTTGAAACGTGTCGAAAAGTATCTTGAAGAAGCGATGGCTTGTGATTCACTTGTTCTTGCCACAATTCTCCATCCTTGCTACAGAATTTCTCTTTTTACTCTTGTTTATGGTCAAGATAGCGTTGAAGTGGATCGGTGTAACAAATTAATTCAAGAAGAGTTTACTCGCATCAAGGAAACGGTTTCAACACAAGCTACCAGCCTCCAAACAAAACCAACAACTAGCACCAATTCAAAAGACTCCACCAGCGGCAGCACCGACCCGAAAGGACTAATGGCGCGCCTGGCATCACTCAATAAAAAGACCCCATCAGCCCAAGAACATGAACTTCAGTTATATCTATCTGCCAATCTGATGTTTAAGCCCGAGGACATTGCACATCATGGATTTGCTCTGCGATGGTGGAAGGTATGTGAATCTTCCTCGCTGAACCTTCTAGTACCAGAACTAATAGTAAAATGTCATCTCTACTAGAAACACTGCCACCTTTATCCAAATGTTGCAACCTTGGCACGAAGCTACCTGGCCACCTCAGCAAGTTCTTGCTCCGTGGAGCGACTCTTCTCAGCAGCATCCGATGTTTGCAACAACAGCCGCGGTAGCATGCTTCCTAAAACAATGTCACAGAGTGTGAGCAGCTTGATGTGGCTACGTGAGGGGGTTCCTCTCACGGGAGCATTTGATACTGCTGGAAAGGTTATTTCTGAGCTTGTTATCCCAAAAATAAAATGATTTTTTCTATCTAATAATGCCAGCGTCTATAGGCATTCAGTTGTGAAGCCCTGAAATCAATATTACACTGTCTCTACCGTTATCTCCTTAGTTATCTATGAAAATATTTGATAACGTAACTGTTACATGAATAGAAAAAAAATCTCACTGAGTAACGTAGCATGAGGGAAAAGAAAAACAAAAAAAAACTCAGTAACGCAACGGAAAACCGTTACAAGAAACTTCAACAAAAACGGTAAATTTTAAGTTACGTTTTCGTTATTTTTCGTTACTGAAAACGTAACCTCCCAGTGTTGCCACAAGGAGCAACCGTAATGTTCCAACCATGTTCGAAATCTGGGCAGCACTCGAATAGCAAGCCTGGCTTAGTGCTTTGATGTCGGGGTAGTTCGAGCGGGATAGCCTAGTTGCAGAGCTCTGGTGAGCGATGGGATCCGGATTCCCTTGAGATAGTAAAAACAAGATTTGGGCAGCCTTTTGCGCGACATTTTCTGTATCTGGATGATAGATGGAGAGCCAAAAAGAATGTTTCGCCCGACAGATCAGTGAAGAGGATAAGTCCGGCCGGTGTCGTCAAGCTTCTTTCTTGAAGTAAATTTTTTGACGCGGGAAAATCGACTTTGGTTGCTGGAGGGGTTGATGGCGGAGAGAGGAGAGCTGGAATTTAAACCTTGATCAAAACTCTGGGTTGCTCCCTTGTGGTTGACACTTCCGCGCGAGTACATCCGGTCCCTGATCTCCAACTTTCAATCATAATAAGGCATTGTACACTCGGATCAGACAAAAGTTTGGTCCAGGAGCACCCAGATCATCACGCATTCGCTGCTTGAGCTTCTCAATGTGATAGGTCTATTTCAGGTTGCATTCATAGCCCCTTATCCGCCTCTCTCGGCCAGTACATCACATGAACTAAAACATTTGCGAATGAGACGGGTAAAAGAGAATTTCTCAACATAAGTGACAGGTCCGATACAACTAAGAAGCGCAACAAATTTAAATGAATAGCTGGTGAAAACATGGGAATAGCAGAGCCAGCTATGCAAGTTTCATATGGAGAGTCGAGTGACAACTATGTGGAATCATGGCGAAGTTGAGAATTGTCTTAGCCGGAACTGGTCACATTTGGCGGTATCATGGACTTGAGCCTAAGCATGATGTTGAATCAGTCTGAGGTACGCCGGGGTTTGAAAACACAACCTTGCTTACGTTTAGAATATAAATAGCATGCTCAATCATCCAACTGAAGCCAGAATATGATGTTGAGTTTTGAGGTTTGGTCTTCAGCAACGAAAAGCCCACTTGATCCTTGGTAAAAACCGAATTCAAGGTCGTGAGTTAGATTACCCCGGAGGGATCTCAGCTCAATACACCCTCGTATAATTACCATGTCTTGATTATCGATATATAAGGGAATGTGGGTATTTGTGGCCATTTTCTGAACGAGTCTGTCATGCTGGTGTTTCGTCAATGGAACACCTTTATCGTCTTCGGATCCTGAGAAGTCTAAGTGGAGAGCCAGTGATATGAAAAGTACAACTTATGAGCTATATGCGCGCAGGGACAATGAGAGGAATAAGTTTCAAAGCATGTACCAGGTAGTTTCACACCCAGATTGCTCATTGCTCGGTCAACTACATCAATTAAGTATCGCTTTTCCTGTTCGTTTAACCAAAGGAGCGCGTTGTTGATGCCTTGCGTATTGACAAGGAAGAAGAAGAAATGGGTTGCTTCAGTGATTTACTTTCGAAGTGACAGGCACAGGAAGAGAGCATACCATCCTTGCAAATGCGAATGGCGTGGCAGGTTTTTCTCTCGTTCCTTTGAATCTCGGTCTCCGTTGCGACGGAAATGAAGTATTCTGGTAGCTGGTCTAATATCGATGGGAAAAGGTCGGGAGTAATATGCTGGCGGATCAGGTCGTGGTTGTGCAGAGCCAATGGGCCTAGTATGTAAAATTCCTGGCTCTCCTTGAATTCAATAACTAGAGACATGACTGTAAATAAGGCAACCACAATTTTTAGAGAGATAGTAGATGGAGAATTTCGGACACTCTGGAGTCACAGAGCAAGACAGAGAAGGTGATGGCGCTTAACACGGGTTGACGGTAGCCAGGAGCAGGTGTGTGGCTGGAAGAACGGAAAGTGGGAGGTGGGGGGCTTGAGAAGGTCTAGTTCGCTGTTTGTTGCAGGTGTTTATATACGGGACATTACTCTCGAATTACGCAGTTGCAAGGACATTTGCTGACTGAAAGTGAGTGGTGCTGGACTTGACGAGTTCGGAGCTGATCCAGCAGTGTTTGGATATTCCCATCCCAGATCGTGAATGTGTTCGACCCTACGCCACAGATGGATACGACCGATGGCTACGAATGCCGAGATACCTCCAATGCAGAACCCGCCGGTGGTGTAACCAGTTGAGAGAGGTGGATTGAGTTCCTGATCGAGAGTAGTACTAGTCCCAAACCATTTACATAGCTAGCAATGCCAAGTTAGCCAAGCTGCAATGACCCAGAGAGATGCCGGATGTAAACAATCAGCACCTGTACACTTCAATTGTGATTTATAGGAATGGAATGAAAGATGCCAGACCGCATTAGCTGCATCTGTATGTAGCTCACTTAAAGACCGTCGTGTGTGGGTGGAGAATCGGCAAGTTGGATGAGGTTGGGTGGTAATACAATCCCATAGGTTTGGAGAGCGGCTTAAACAACTAGAGATGGTCGAAGGGTATCCTTCGCGGATACCCGTTATCCGCTGGCGGATACCCGCCTGTGCCAACGGATACCCGCCAGCGGGTGCGGATTCGGGTGCGGATGGCCCCTTTTCCGCAAATCGCCGGCGGGTATCCGGGTATCCCAAAGGATACCCGCGGCCGGGAGGGGAGATGGCTGGCTGGAAGGAAGCCCTTCCAGCCGGCGAGGCACAAGTACCTCGACGGCTGGAAGGGTTTCCTTCCAGCCGACGAGGTACTTGTACCTCGTCGACTGGAAGGGTTTCCTTCCAGCCGGCGAGGCACAAGTACCTCGACGGCTGGAAGGGTGTCCTTCCAGTCGACGAGGTACATGTACCAGCGTTTGTGCCGTGTGCGACACCTGTAAAAAATTAATGAACATGTATACATAAGAGCTGCATGAATGCCGCAGCCGCTGCCCAAGTAAATATGTATGTACATAAGTAGTTGTAGAAATTTACAGCCATCCAATTCACATGCAAACATAACGCCGGCATCGCTATGTATGTACATAGAACACTACATTTGCAAACCCGCTTTTATATTCCTCGATACATATCCGCGCCACGTCGGTTTCTTTGGGGTGACAGACAGATATGTATGTGTTCGTGAGTATATGCATATTTGATTACATCATACAACACACTTGGTTCCCATGTGCAATGTGTGTGTACATATTTACATACATGTAAAAATGCATAGCATTTTCCTCCGGTAGCCATGTAGACAAGACTACATGTCTAGGAGGACAGACCACATTCAAGTTTCAACTCCGGCTCTTCTTCCTATGTGTACCAACAGATATAACTTTCAAGCTGATAGTCCGTCATTACTTGTTTGATTCACTCTCAGCCAACTAATTATCAGCTCTCTACAACCCTACATCAAAATTTCTTGAATCCTTACTGGCAACCAAGGAGGCCGTAATGTCAGCTAAACGTAGTAAAGCAATGATGGATGTAGACACATGGCCTTCAGGAAAGCTTCAACTTGATTATTGCATATATATATTTTTGCTCATCTGCGTTATGACGTATCTTTTCCTTCTATCTAATTAACGCTCACATTTGTGTTTTTTACTTTCAAAGTGTAGATGCCCGCGTTTTCACGGTTGGGCAGTTGAAGTTCTACCTCGAGGGTCATGAACTACTTGTAAAGCGTCGTGCAATCTACCGCCAACCTGAACTACATAAGCTCTACTCCAAACACCTAGCAAAGCAACCTCGGTTGGAACCTTATCAATTTGACTGGCCAGGTATGTGAACAAGCATCTGGCACCGCAATATGGATCTCCCACTTCTCGATCAAAGACCTTTAATCTTTGGCTCGCACGATTACTGATTAAACATACTAACCAATCTCTGTTCCCGAAACCACTCAATATCAACATAGAACCAGTCGAAATGACAATTTTCGGCCTGCGGCACGTTCTTGATCAATACCAAGTCTCAAACAATGCTATCCTTCGACGTGCTGACCTCGAACCACTTTACATTAACCTGAAGGCACTCCAGCATCCAGCTGGAGGAGATCTCAAGCGACCTCGTCCTCATCACTCCCCCCGGTCCCTCGAAAAGCCACCACCTATTTGGGCTCGCCCAACTTGGCTAGTTCAAAGACAGCATGCAAAAGAACCCCCGCTCAACCTCAAAGAAAAGCCAACAAATGTACCTCATGAGCCCCCACGAAGACGATCTGCAAGGATTGATGCTGCTCAGAAAGCCAGTGGTGATAGTAGTCGACCCATCACACCCACTCGCATCATTGGAAAACGTACCACCCGGGTTCCCGTAAGTTGGCTGCTAGTCTTCTATGCTCTGGTGGAAATTGTTGGTGCTCATACATTTCAGTTGTGTACTCTTGCAGGAAGACAATTTACCGAAGGACGATACCCCGCGATCTCACAAACGGCCTCGTCACATTTTGAGGTTCAAAGTGCCAAGGAGACCACGTGCCAGGCGGCCGAAGAGAAAGAAGCGTATACGGGCTACGAAAGCACAAGATCGACCGTCAACACAAGAGCACTCTGGTATACCTTCGTCCGACTTCACTTGTAATGTTGAAATGCCGGTTGAAAAAGCTCAAGGTCAAACAACACCTGATTCGACTCAGTCGGAGTGTACGCCGCCCCCGGTGACGACTTGTGGCGCAGGTAATCATCCAGACAATGGCAAGGATCAAGCACTCCCGGACAAGTATTTAAGCATTGAGACACCCTCGATCAAATACCCAGGAGACTCCAACAACGTAGATGCAATCTCAACTGCTATGTCAAGCTGTCCAGATAAGACGCTTGCGGTAGCTTCAAGTCCTCCTCACGATAGCTATTCAGCTGAAATCACAAGATCACCAAGCAGCAAGAACACAGTGAAGAAAATATTAGTCCCCCACGATTACCTCGAAAAATCGATGCTTACCCTAGTAGCTCAATGTATGTTATCTTCATTTACGATTGAAAAGTGCCATGTAAACTCATTTGTTGACAGCGGGCCTAATAAAATAGACGAACCTCAAAGCGCAGAAGTGCCTTTTATTGATGAACCGGATAAATCCTTTCAGCTCCCTACTCCATTATATCCTGTATCGAAATCTTGTAGTGAAACGGAAATCATCACAAGTCGAGATGAATCTCTTGTCAACCCTCAAACATCAGCTTCTTTTGAACCCAGGCAACGTACTATTACACAGGGATCACCAACTGCAAACTTCCGATCTCTTCCAAAGCCCTCTGTCCTCCTTGCATGATTGCAGATACGAATTCTCATCACCCCAAGAATTCATCCCATCACTGTATTAGATTGTAGCTCTCCTGTCTCAATCACAATTTTCGAAGCACCTCCTCAACCTGAACACCAGCGGGAAGATTGCAAACCACTACCTCAAACCCCTCCACTACAGCATGGTCATAAACTCGCTTCGGACTACGACCAGACGACCAAAAGATTCGACTCAGAAACAGAGGTCGGCTTCCTTGCACGCGCGGATCAATTCCAGTCAACAACAGAATCTCTGGACGAGTCTCCAAATCAACCTGCCAGCCTTGATGGAGCCGTTCTAGAATCTTGACAACTCAACAGTCCCAATACAAGTATCTCAGTTCCTCTGCTCAACCCAGTAACTATTCCCAAAGAAACGCCGCACGCAGACCCTCCTAGAGAATCTCAGCAGAGTGAGCCAACAATCCCATTGCCCCCATCAGCATACGGCTCAGAATCCTCTTTGGAATACCTTGACCCTGACACTCTAGTATCACCAGAAATCACGAGCAAACCTGTCAGCGTATCTGAACTGTCTCCTAATCTGGGGCCGCCAAACCAGTCACCGCCAGAAACTGATTCTGCTGCAACTTTCCTCAAAACACCGGCAATGCCGCTGGATGCGCCAAATCTGCAAGGTTGTCTCGTTGTAATTCCTCCAGTCGCCGCAGTCCCTGATCTTACTCTGGAATACCTACAACAAGAAACTCATCAGAGAAACTGGGCTCCTGGATCCCTCGGACAGCTTCAGCAATATTCTGGTCATTCAATCCTGCCAACGCCCATTGCGACTTCCCCTGGGACGTCAGCGAACCCTGACAATCTGCTGCACTCCATAATTGTGAGAAAAGCGAGGACACGCCTGGTCATTTGCGATTCCGACGAAGAAGAAGGTGCTGATCAAATTTCCCCAGTCAATGTACATCCCACCGTCGATACACCTGCTGTTGGTCCAACTTCCGAGCGAACATCAAGGGCTGATGTCCCCAGTCTCCCAGTCGATCCTATTTTGGGAACACCCGCTGGCAACTATGATCCCAACAAACGTGTTTGGCGTGGTAAGTACCGTCAAGCCTCGTCTATCTCTAGCCCATAGGTAGTATCACTGATAAGCATTGCCTTTCCGTCCAATGTCAGACCCTCATTCTAAGATCACAAAAGCTGAATTACACGCTATCTTTGAAGAGTTCAAAGTTCCTTACAAGGCCGCCAAAAAAAAGGGTGCACTAATTGAAAAATACAAAGCGCTGATAGCATCTGAAATGGCCAAACACCAGGAAGGTCTAGTCGACATTAGCACATCAGCAACATCAGCTAACGACTCTACAGGTGAGGAAAGCCGCTTGCCGCCCAAAAGTCAAGAAACCCCTGCGCCCGCAGGCGGCACAAATTTCAACCCAGCAAGGCAAGACTGGCCTGGTAAGAACTTCTCCATCTTTCTACTTGCCATAGCTGGGCAGAATTGTTGATTGACGTTGGTTTGACCTTTCAGAACCTGATGGTAAGATAACAACAAAGAAAAAGCAGCAAATCCGAGATATTTTGACAGATCACGGTGTCACTCATTTGGCCTGCGATTCAACACTTGTCTTGCTTGCCAAGTACAAAACAATAGTGATTGACTCCGATAAACCGCGATACAATCTCCGCCCCGAACGGCCATTGCTTACACAGACCATTGTCAACACAGCTAATCAGGACAATCACCCACCCACTTCCAAAGATCAAGAGACAGCCGAGAGCAATGATCCAGTCCTCCCTGATAAAGCCCACTTGACGAACGGAGCACCCAACAGTGTCAACCCAGCCCCCTCTCCCCCGGAAAGTCCGCCCCCATCCGTACACCAAACCGATACAGATGCAGACTTTCCAGTTGGCAACAAAAGCCCTATCATAACAGATTTGGATGCTTTCAGTGAATGCCGAGGATCTCGATCTCAATCTCCAACACCCAACAACCAAATGACTCAGCGCGCTGCAGTACCCTCGCCTGCCACTTCAATTCTCGTCGAACCTCCGAACCTCGATCCTATGCCACAGGTGGCCAACTGGGTGTCAGATGTCCACAATGCTAGCAATGACTTGGACCAGGATATAGACATGCATCATGAGATTCCCGTAACTCAACAGACGCCAGCTCCCCAATCTCATTCCATGGAGATGCTTGTATCAACACTGAACATTGTTGCCCAGAATTCAGTTGAGATAGGAAACGCTTCCATCCGTACAATGAATGCTATAGCTCAAGGCTTGATTGGTCTAAGTTCTGCTGTTGAATCTTTGCGTACTGCTCCAGCACCCACACCGCCGATGTGGTATACCTTAAGAGTAGCCATCTGGCCCATTTAAAAATTTTACAGTTTTTTCTTTTATTACAAATTACATACTTTTTACACCTTTTTTCTCATATATACACTCACAAATCAACCATTATGGCTCAAGAACTGGATTCTATGGTCAATTTCACCCTTGGTCACCACTGGAGGCGTCACTGGAACTCAACTGGATTGGAAGCTACACCCTCTGGACCATCACTACACTCAATTACACAACTCACCACCATGGCAACACTTCAACACTCAACAACACCAACAAATTACATAACTCACACTATACATATGTACATTGCAGGACAACTACATACACTCTCACACCATTATAGTACATGTATACACACCACTTCACTATCTTCTGACAGTTGACACATGCAGTGTTGGTCTGATACCACTCTGGATTTACAAGTGACATCATGCAGGTTGTCATGTCACTTGTTAATCTTCCTTGCAGCTGTCAGACTATCTCACACCACTCATGTAATATTCATCACCTCACCTTAGCTTGCAGATTAGTACATCACCTCATGTAAAATGCTACACCCAGCATAAAACCCTCATGTAGACTTCTAGTTCAAACTAAAATAACTCTTATGACATCATGTAGGTTGCTCAACCAGCCAAAATACCTCATGTAAATGTTATGACTAGCTAAATCCCCTCATTGTAAAGCTCTGGCCAGCTAAAATCTCTCATTCTCTTGTTCCCCTGAAGCTAAAATCCCTCACCTTTGTGTATTTAAGAGGCTCTCCTCTCAGTTGTTTTCCCCTCAGTTTAGTATCCACCTATTTCATACCCCCTACCCTTACTGTCAGCCTCTGGGTAACTAACCTGAGTATTTTAATAGTAAAAAGGTTGTTACTATGAGTTGACTGAAGTTTTTGAGCGTGGTGAGTGTTAGGTAGTGGGTGATTAATACCAGTCCTGTAAAGAGGAGGTTTCACTCTATCAGTATGGTCTTTACTGAGAGGCTTGCTATCAACAGCGCATCCGGATCAATACAAGGTATTAATAGGCATCCAGGGTACTAAGACTCACCTGGGATTGATTTGGTTATTCCCCTAAGGGAATGGGCTAACAATACTTATTAAGCTTTAACAAAATTAGTTGAAGATTAACAGGTATTGTTAATGGGAATATTCAGCAAGGCTATGAATACTGTGGATAAGTTGAGTAAGAGTACTGAAGCTTAAGAACAATAAAGGTAGACAAGATTTATGTTGGTTACGGGTACTGTATCAATATAAATGTTAACTGGTTTAACTGGTGTCTGAATATTCTGGGGATTAATCAGTGAAAGAGGCACGGATTATAAGTTCCAGAATACTGAAGGGGGGAAAGAATGAGCGCTCAGAATCAAGGGAGCTTTGGCCAGGAGAATGAGCACATCAATTGAGTGACTGATCATTATTTGTCATGATCTGTAAGTGACATCATAATTGTGTACTAGTTGATCAATGTACTAGTTGTTCTTGATGCGTGCACTTGACAGATCCTCTAATAATGTAGTCATAATTGTGATCAGTGCATGTATTGAATGTATTAATTCTATTGACACTTAATACTTACTATTTAATACATGTACATATTTATTTGTAATAATATTTGACCGTGAAAATACTGTAGTAGAGGGATAACTTGTGGTACAGGTATTTCACGGACAAGGGAGTGAAAGGTAAGTGATAATTACTTATGTATAACACAGGTATGTATTTAATAGATAAGTAATTAACAGATAAGATAACTGTAAGATAAATAAGATAAGTTAATAATAAAGATAAGATAACAAGAGGTAAAGGTAATCAACATTATGGATAAGTACTTATGTACATAAGTACAGGTGTTGCAGTTACTTGGTACATGAAAGGTACTGTGACATGTACTCTGTGGCTGACACTTCCTCCCTCTAAAAAAGGCTGATCCAAGAAATAAATTAATGTTATTTTCTTTTATCAGCTCTGTATTGTCTGAGAATTTTATCAGCATCAGGTATTTTATCAACTGTAAGCCATTCATCTTCTTTGGTACCACTGTATCTTACTAAATATTGTTTAATGTCTTCATTGTTTTTTCTGATTTTTCTATGTTGTAATATCTTCTTAATTTTAATTTCTTCTTTTTCTAAAGGAGGTATTACAACTCTGATGTTATCTTTTCTTAAAGGAAATTTATCATTATCACTAGTTTTGTATGGTTTAATTAGACTAACTGGGAATGTAGGGTGTTTTCTTTCTAATTCTCCAGTAAGTATAACTTCAACAGCATTTGCACCGTGTAATTGTTTGATTGTAAAGGGTCCTACAAAGGAATCTCTCAATTTTTTAGGGCCAGTCAGGTTTGTAAAATTAAATGTAGATATTAAGACTTGGTCTCCAACTTTAAACTGGTGAGCTTTGTGAGTTTTATCCCATCTAGTTTTGTTGTAATCTACAGCTAATTTCACGCATTCTGCTGCATATTTTTCAGCTTTGGTCATCATAAAGTGAAAATCAGAGGCACTTGGGTGTATGTGTACTGCTTTTGACATTAAAATTTCTTTTGGAAACCAAGGAGTCCAACCTCTCTCTAATTCATAAGGTGTTTTATTTGTTGTACTGTGTTTGCTAGAATTGTAAGCATATTCAAGTGCAGGTAATAATGAACACCAATCATGAGTATAGTTGTCTTTATCCTTAAATGTCATACCATAGGCACAATATCTTCTGATCATGTCTTCCAAAGTTTGAATCATTCTTTCAGCTAGTCCATCTGTTTGGGGGTGGTAAGCTGTAGAAAATTTTAGTTGGGTCCCACATAAATCATATAAATTTCTCCAAAATTCTGACGTAAATTTAGGGTCTCTATCTGTAATGATATATCTGGGACAACCAACATCATAAATGATAGAATTCCAAAATAATAATGCAGTATCCATTGCTGTATCTTCTTTATGACACGGTAGAAATCTTGCTCTTTTGGAAAATCTATCAACTACCACTAAAATTGCATTAAAATTGTTAGGTCCTCCAGGTGGTAATCCAGTAACAAAATCCATGTTAATGACAGACCATCTTTCTTTGGGTTCTTCAATTTCTTGTAATAATCCATATCTTTTTCCTGTAGCTTTATTTGCTTTTTGACATCTGTCACAAGATTCACAATAATCTTTAGTATCATTCTTAAAATTAGGCCACCAAGCAATTTGTTTAACTCTCTCAATTGTTCTGTCAAAGGAAAAATGAGCTGAAGAGATATTGTCGTGACATTCTTTCAAAAATAAATTAATGTGTTCTTTTAGACAAATAACTACTACACTTGTATGTTTAATTCTGTGGTAAATTAATCCATCTAACAGAGAGAATCTATTTTCTTTAAATGAACTAAGCCATGGTTCTTCCAATGAATTTATCAGATCATTATTTTTGAAATTACTTTGTAAGATATTTTTAATTGTGGAGCAATTTTTATTTTGGTCATAACTAATTCTAATTTCATCCCAAAATTCTTCTTGCATTTCAGTTACGTGTAACCCACAAATATTAATATCATCAGTGTTATCATCAAAGGCAGGATTATTTTCATTATTTTCCTCTGGGAATAAACTCATAATTTTTGCAGCAATTTCTCCGTCCCAGGCTGGGTTATCTGGTATATTTTCCAATGACCATCTACTAAGTCCATCAGCATTTTTATGTATATTACCTTCTCTATGTTTAATAGTCATACTTCCTCTCCATTCTTGAATAGCTATTTGCCATCTGAGCATGTGTCTATTTGGAGTTTTCATACTTAATAAACTTTTGAGGGCTGTACAATCAGTAATTACTTCAAATTCACATCCATCAAGGTAATAATATAATTTATCTAAGGCCCAGACTAAGCATAAGCATTCAAGTTGGCTGGCACCGTATTTTTTCTCACTGTCTTTCAAAGTTCTAGAAATATAACAAATGACTCCTTCTTTTGGTATTTCTTGATCTTGAATTTGGTGTAAGGCAGCTCCTAATCCTTCCATACTAGCATCTACATATAATTTATAAGGCTTATTTGGATTAGGCATAAATAATATGGGAGCAGAAGTAAGTAGTTCACGTAATTTATTGAATGCAGCTACTCTGTCTACTGTCATCTCAAAGGAGGTGTTTGGGCTACTTAATTTATATAGACATCCAGTTACTTTGGCAAAATCTTTTATATGTTGTCTGTAATAACTAGCAAAACCAAGGAATGACTGTATTTCTTTAACATTAGTGGGCATAGGTTTCAACATCACGGCAGCTACTTTATTTTTATCTATGGCTATGCTCAATCCTGAAACTATATGGCCTAATGCTTTGAGTTCTTGAAAACCAAATTGACACTTGTTCATAGAGATTTTCATATTCATTTTGATAACTCTTTCTAGAACAATTTTCAATTTTTCAAGGTGGTCATTCCATTCAGTGCTAAAAATAATAATGTCATCAATATAAATTATTAGCCATCCTTCACGTAATTCTTTGTGAAATTCAGTATCCATCATTCTTTGGAAGTGAGAGGGTGCATTTTTAATTCCAAAGGGCATTCTTAAATATTCATAAATACCCATATGTAGAATAATTCTCATTAAATGTCTACTATCTTCATGAATAACATTTTGGTGAAATCCTTTAAGTACATCCATGCACGTAATATATTTTGCATTTTGTAATTGCGTGATGGCTTCACTTATTTTGGGCATTGGATATCTATCAGCAATTGTGTAATTGTTAAGAGCTCTAAAGTCTCCAACCATTCTAGATTTACCATTATGCCACGCAATAATTACAGGAGTAGTTACTTCAACATTTTCATTAGCACCAACTTTTCTAAGTACATTCATTTTTACTAGGTCAGTTACATGTTGTTGTAAGGCTTCTCTGCTTCTTGGGGATGCTGGGTATGCAGCTTTTCTTAATGCTGGAGGGTAAGGTCTAGAAGTATTAAGATTAATTCTGACTTCATGTCCTTTTATGCGTCCAAAGGGTTCATCAGTAGTAGCAAAAGCCAATTTCTTTT